GAATTGCAAGAGTGTCCTGAACTTTTCAGCAATCTCTGAAAAAGCCGATGCGTGCCTAAGTGTACTTGTTAGGTGGGTGGGAAAGATTTTCATTTCTTTCAAACTCGGTTTATTAAAGAACATGTTGGTGCATGGTAGATAGAAGTGTAACACTCGCTTTCTATAGGGAACAGTAAAATATTGGTTTTGCAATGAATCATATGCAAAAAGACTGTGTTAAGCAACTTGCAAGGAGGTAGGTTAAAGCCTTCTATATACTAAAGGACAAATATGAAATAAGACAAACCTATAGTTAAGGTTTTTATATAAGAATAACCTCCACATAGAAGATACGGTTCTGAAAATTCTTTCTACAGCAGAGCTAAGTTGACAGTTCATAAATATAAATCTAAGGTACTTATTTGTATGCATTACAATAATTGTTAATGTCTTTATCCTCTCGGCTCACCTCTAAGCAAGGAAAGTACTATTATCTTCATTCAAATACAGTTGGGAATTGATGCATATAAAACCTAAGTGGAAGACCATCAGCTGGTATAAATGCCATAGATCAGTTGAAGTCAATGGGCAAAGGATCCATCTCTTTAAGCTGCATCTTCACCAGCAGTGGACAATAACTGGTCCACGGGCCAGATGCAGTTTGTCAGGGTTAGCCCTGTCAGGCCACCATCACTGTATTTACCTGCACCTTTGCAGGTATGTGTGCTTGCAGCTCCTGTTTGCCAGGGAACAGCAGTCCACAGCCAGGGGAGCTGCGGGAAGCCGTTACCCAGTCCATGTTGCTCCCCACAGTTCCCATTGCTGGGAACGGTGAGCTGTGGCCAATGGGAGTGGCAAGCACCCGTACCTGCAGAAGTCCAGAAATAGAGTGATGGCAGCCTGCTAGGGGCTAATCCTGATGCACCACCTCCATCTTTTTGCCCACTGCTGGTCTATACTATGAGCTGGGGATACAACACCCCTGCTCATGTGCACATGATAATGTTAGCTTTCAATGAGCTAGAGAAATATAAATAGTAGTGTAGCCCCAGTAGCACTGGTATGGCAGAGGCGTGTGAGCACAAACTCCCCTGAACCGCATGGACATTGTTAAGGTACCTTGCTCTTTATACCCATGCTAGCTCAATGAAACCAGCCTTGCATGCGGGGGCTAGACTAGATACCCTCTTGAGATTCTTTCCACATCTATACTTCCCTGATTCTATGGGATGTATAGACTTTTACTTTCTGTGCATTGCTTCCCATCTATCAAATGGAGCAATAACAATTTACAGCAGAGGATCTAGTGCAGGGGGGCAATAATTTTTGACCGGGGACCACTTCAGAAATTTATGAAGTAGTCCAGGGCTGCCAGAGAAGGAGTAGAGCCTCAGGCAAAAGGGGTGGGGTCAGGACACTTCCTGCTTCCCTGCCCACAGACCTTGATTGGTCTGGGGATGGATGAACATGTGAAGTCTTTGCCCCTGCCACTCCCCCCCCTCCCCACAGAGAACCACCGGCTGTTCTGAACAGCTAGTGGTTCCCTCTAGGTGCCCCTGTCCCTGACAATGGGAGGAGACTTTGCATGCTCACGTCTGCCCCCCCAGCCGCAGGGTTTGAGGGGGGGGAGGAGCGTGTGAAGTCTCCTTCCACCCTGCCCTCGTCCTGCAAGGAGCATGTGGGATACATTATTCTGTCTTGCACAGTGGGACAGCTTTCCACACCAAGCCAGCAGTAAGTGTTCTGGCCTCACTGCAGCATAAACCATTACAGTGTAGGTCCAGGCTTCTGGCAACATTCAGTGAGCATCTGTTCCTTATCACTCTGTGTGATTCAGAGAAGAATGGTATTGCACATGGCAACCTGGATGAAGCAAGGGAAGCTATTGTAACTGGTACCACAGTGGTACATCTCTGTTTACTCACCCCCAGCAAAGCATGATTTGAGCCCCTGCCCTGCAGCCATGCCAGCACCCTCTCTCCCTCCTGTGCACACTCTTGGGCTAAGGGAAAGTTGCACTAACCCAGATAATGAAGCAAATAAACATATTTGTAAGCATCTAGAAGAAAATAAGGTGATAACTTTGTCAACATGGATTTATCAAGAACAATCATACCAAACCAACTTGAAATCCTTATTTGACAAGATCACAAGCCAACTAAATAGAAAAGTAGATGAGATATATTTCAACTTTAGTAAAACTTTTGATACTGTCTCATATGACCTTATCATAAACAAACTAGAGAGATATAGCCTGGATGAAGCTACTATAAGGTAGCTACTCAGAGAGCTATTAGCTGGAAAAGCTACTCAGAGAGTAGTTACCAGTAGTTCACAGTTAAGTTGGAAGGGCATATTGCATGATGTTCCACAAGGGCCAGTCCTGGGTCCAGTTCTGCTCAATATCTTAATAAATGATTTGGATAATGGCACAGAGAATACACTAATAAAGTTTGCAAATGACACCAAGCCAGGAGGGGACGCACACATTTTGAAAGACAGGATGAGAATTCAAAATGATCTTGACAAACTCGAAAAGATATGAAATTAGAAGGGTGGAATTCAATACTGATGACTGCAAAACACTAAGCTTAGGAAGCGGCGAGGAGTCCTGTGGCACCTTATAGACTAACTGAAGTGTTGGAGCATAAGCTTTCGTGGGCAAAGACCCACTTTGTCAGATGCATGCATCTGATGAAGTGAGTCTTTGCCCATGAAAGCTTATGCTTCAACACTTCAGTTAGTCTATAAGGTGCCACAGGACTCCTCGCCGCTTTTGCAGATTCAGACTAACACAGCTACCCCTCTAAGCTTAGGAAGAATACTCAGTTACACAAATACAAAATGAGAAGTAACTGCCTCTAAGAGGAGTATCGCAGAAAAGAGTTTGGGGGTTATAAGTGATCACAAACTAAATATGAGTCAACAGTATAATATTATTAGGAAAAAAGCAAAGATCATTTTGGGACGTAAAAAAGTCTCAGAGGAGTAGCTATGTTAGTCTGTAAGTTTGAAAACAATAAGTAATCCGGTGGCATCTTAGCCTTAGTCTACGCTGCAGGGTTTTTCCGTAACAAGCCTTTTGCAGAAGAGTTCTTGTGCAAAAATTTGTTGTGCAAAAAGCGCATCCAGACCTCAAAGCGCATTGCAAAAGTGATGTGCTTTTGTGCAAGAGAGCGTCCACACTGCATGGACACTCTTGAGCAAGAAAGCTCTGATGGCCATTCACAGAATGAGCACCTGTGCTTTTTCTGACAAGGGTTTCTTGTGCAAAAACCCCTCTGGAGCGTCCACACCTACCTTTTTGCACAAGAGCGGTAGCGCAAAAAGGATTTGTTCCTTGTGGGGAGAGGAATAACTATTGGCAAAAACCATCTGTTCTGTCGATTTTCTTGCACACAAATGTGCTTGAGGTGTGGACGTTCTGCCGATTTTTGCACAAAAACCTTGTAGTGTAGACAGTCTTGAAGACTAACAAATTATACATATATATATTATCATGAGCTTTCGTGGACAAAACCCACTTCATCAGATGAGCTGGAGAGGAATAACAGGAACCCAGAAATTTATAACAGAAAAAGAAGGGGGAGAAGAAAAAAAAAAAGATACCTGTCAGTTGAAGACTTGGTGCTAATGAGGCTAATTAACTGGGCTGGAAGTGTCCCAAACTTAGCTTTTTATGAAAAAAATGAGGCATTAAATGCAGGGAAGGCTGGCTTTATTTTGGGATGTAGTAAACAAGACAGGAGAAATTCTTCAATTCTACTCACCATCAATAAGGCCTCAGTTGAGGTTCAATACTTAGACCTGCCTTGCTGTCAAGGCCTGAACTAGATGATCTATTAAAGTCCCTTCCATTCATATACTTTTACGATAATATTTACCTTTCAAAATTTAGAAAGTATAAATATTTTACATGACAAAAACTACCAGTTTTCTTAAGGATGGAAAGAAAATTTTATATGCATAAGTATACTTGTTCCCGAGAAAGCTATTTGTTGGTAAAATAAAGAAAACATGAAAGTTTGTAACTATATACACTTTTCTTAAGGAGATGTTCTTCATTACAAGTGTGCTTTTGTCTTGTGATGTAGTTACAGTAATGGTGAAAAAAATCAGTAATAAATTATGTACAGACTGGCCAAAATCTAAGAAAGAACACCCCAAATCAGTCTTCTTGCTTCTCTTTGGTAGTTTAGAGCCCTAATGACTGCAGCAAGCTATTTTTAAGAATGCACATATCCATTAACATATGATCAAGAGCAAATCAGTTGTCACTGACATATCCAAATCATAAAGCTTGGATTCAGAGCTGAATTTCCTTAAAGCTTGGTGACATTTATTGACAGGGTCTTGGTTTAGCAGATTTTAAAAGGATTACAGGTAGCAAAATCTGAACATTTTTGAAGGTCGTTTTTTCATTGAAATTTTTCCTGGGGGAGGGTAAGTTTCTTACTAGTACCAGTTATGTACTTTAAGATCCAGACTTGAATGTGAAAGGGGGCAGTTCTAGAGCTTTGCTTTGAGCTGGTCTCCACTTGCTACCTATATAAAAAATGTGTTTTGAAGTAGAGCGACTACATAATGTGTACTAGTTCATTTATTACTGTGTGGTGAATGAGACTGTTTTATGCTCATTAGTAAATGCAGCTTTGTTTAATATGCAATGAAATTTGCATCCCAATTTTTCCCCTATCATTTTCCATGTAAGGAAAGGGCCTCCATGGGAAGTCTACTTCATAGAATATTAAGATGATTTTAGAAGAAAGTGTTCTATCTTACCTGTGAATTTGTGTGCTTGAGTGGTTCTAAAGCTAACACAGGGAGACAAACTCTCTGCCATTGTAAATGGGTGAAACACCACCAAGTTCAGGGAAGTGGTGTTCATTTACACCATATTTTCCGTACCATATTTTAGTGTAAGATTGCATAAGTATCCTACATTTATTTTTTTAAATTATTTGCATATTTGTCATCTGACCGAGACAAGAAAAAGGACTGATAAATTGGGCCACCAAAAATTGAAAAAGCTAATTGTTTTATTACATACCTCATATCATAAGGAATGCATGACATTGCTTCAGAGGAGAACATATTGCACCATACTATAAACATTTTACAGTTGTAACTTGTTCATCTGCATTTATATAAATCAGTAGCATGTACCCCATCGCAACATCAATACAGTTTTCATGTACCTTTGTATATATGCCATTCTCATTTAAAAAGTTGTGTTAAGTTCAGAGGGAAAACTATCCTTTATACTTAGACCTTAAAAGTAGTAAATAAGCATTTACCAGACTCAAATGTACAGAGAATTGGACGAGCATACTAAATATGTCCACTTGCTTAATACAAGACAGAATGCTTTCCACTTAATCAAAGTGCCAGAATAGTGTATATTATTTTAAATATCACAATATTATACACAGAAATAGGCAAGGTTGCATTTGATACAGCCTATTTTTAATAAAAAATGAACAATTCACTTAAACATGTGATTTCAAACTCTTTTGCATAATCTTGTATGAAAAAAAATTGTGCACTGCTTTTATACTCATGTATGAAAATATATTTATTTGATATACTTGAATTGCACAGTAGCATTTCCCAAAAGCTGCGTAATCTATTCAATCTCATTTAATTTCCTGCAGTGTCAAACTTCTTCAGTATAATAATTCTGCAAGTATAGAAATGCTGTAGAAACAATCCTTCAAGGAAAACTGATAAAGTAACATTTACATAAGTACAAAATATACAGCAAAGTTAAAATTTCATTAAATAAAATACATAGGTTAGCTGATTGTCTCAAACCATAAGATAACACCTCATTTTAAATGGTAGCCTTTGGGGAACTTTTCTCCATCGATACGTGGGAGATTTACAAAGCAGTAAAGGGAGTTAATATTTCCCATGTACATCAGTAGAAAAGAATTCCCGCCCCACACTTTTGCACACAGGACATTGCAGGCACAACTCCTGGTAACAATGATAACTGAGCATACAACCTTCCATGTATTATGCTGAATAGTGGGCCAGACCCATCCTGACCCCTAGAAGCAAGTTTAGACCAGTGTATGACATCATTACTAATTTCACTAGTATTCAGAGTAACACCACCAGCAACAACAATTTTATGACATTATTGTGATGGTCTCATATACCTCACATGAATTTTACTGCAATCTGGCAACCAATGCACCATTAAAATAAAGTGTTGCCATAATACCTCACTTTTTTCTGTTTAAAACAGGTAGATATGAAATTAGTCTAGTTTATCTTAAATTGATCCCCTGAAAATAAATGTGTGGTTTTTTTTTTTTTAAAATAACGAGTCCCTACTATAAATCAGCTATTTTAATCCTAACATGTTTTGGAATGGAAGTTAAGTGCATCAGCACTATTTTAGCAAAGAGGCATACCACAATCTAAGACTACAGCAGAATTGTATCCCCGATGTTCACTCCTGGTCCAGACGTATATTGGCTGTAGCGAAGCATCGGCCTAGACTCTGAAATACTGGTGCAATAAGAACATCTGTCATACTCTTCCATACAGTCTGCACAGAAGGCAAGACCATGAGGCAGGTCTTTACAAAAGGCATCACAATCCTAAAAAGAAGAAGAAAGCGGAAGATTTGAGGATTACCACTACTACAAAATAATGGAACTACCAGTCAATCCTTGGTTACATTTATTCATGGCAGTGAAATCTTTTTTTTTTCCTGGTTAAATAAAAGTTCGAGACATTTAAAGCCTTCAGAAAAATAGGAAAAGTGATGAAGAATCCTGTGGCACCTTATAGACGAACAGTTTTATTGGAGCATAGGCTTTCATGGGCAAAGATCCACTTCGTCAGATGTATCTGACGAGGTGGGTCTTTGCTCATGAAAGCTTATGCGCCAATAAAACTGTTCGTCTATAAGGTGCCACAGGACTCCTCGTTGCATTTGCAGATTCAGACTAACATGGCCACCCCCTGATACTTGACACCAGAAAAACAGGAGTTCATCTATGCTGAGAAGCAACATATTGTGTAATTTATGCTAAAGGGATTTGACTTCTCTTCATTTTTTTGGGCATTTCATCAAGCTAGAAGTTGTTTAAATGTTGTTCAGCACAGATAAAAAACAAACGTAGAAATGATTTATGTTATGTTGAACTATGACTGTAAAGTGGTTTTCTAAAAGGCTGCAGCACAGAGCAATACTAAATGTTTGTCTGTTTGGGTTTTCAGCCATTATCAAATCAAGTCCAACAATGCAAACAGTATGCTAATATGTCTATGTTGCACTCTCAGCTAACCCAGATGGATTTAAAGAAGAATTGTTCTTCTAAAGCCTTCTATTTCTTTGTCTCTGCTGAAACAGCAAGTAATGTACATACTATATAGAACTTTGAATGCTGCTGGAATAATATGCATGCAGCATAAGAGGGGACACTATACTCAGACGTGTGGCTACGGCTACCTTCAGTTCAGCTGTTTATACCAGGGGTTGGAACTTCAGACCTGGGAGATGGATACGCCCCCTAGCTTACCTGGATCCAGCCCAGGAGGCTCAGCATTGGGAGCCTGTGCAGGTGCTCCAGCTCCCCTAGCCTCTCATCTGCAGGGCTGGAGCACACAAAACCTACTTGGCTGGGCCCAACCTAGGCTCTGGTGTGCAAGGGGAATGTGGGCAGTGTCTTTCTTCTTCTCAGTTAGGGGCTTCTCACCATGCTTCTCACTTGTGTTTTTTTTTTGGGGGGGGGGAGAGGGATCAGCAGCCCCCAACAGAACAAAGGTTCTCTACTTCTGGTATATACAATATAGTATAGAGTGTGCTGCTAGATAAATTGCACCTTCTCTTCTGATTTCCATGAGTAGCTTATGATTTTCTCTACATTATTATCTGATCAAATTATTTGCTGAATAACTTGGTGCAATTTAAACCGTCACCCCAAATCCTATGTGGGAAGCTGCATCAGGAGTGTGGGAAGCAGTTGGAAATCACTCTTAATAGAGAGGTAGTGGTAAAGCCAAAATCCTTGGGTAGGACCTCTGGCAAGGACAGCAGTAACAGAATGTTTATTTCAGGGGAGATTTCCTACTACTGCTCCCCACCAGTATTCTGGAACAATCCTCTCCTTGATTAGCCTCTTCTACTTTCTGAGGTGCACAAGACCAGTGTTTCTCAACCCTTCTTTACAAAGTACTATACCCCTTTTTTAAAAAAAAGCATAAGTACCCCCAGTATCTACAGTTTTTAGACACACAACATTTTTTTCTTCCATTGCAACACATTTGTTTAAACAACTTAATCGTAGCTGGGTGGGCAATGAAATTTTTGGGTGTAAAAAGTATAAAAATAATAAAGTGCTGTAAAATTTAACGCAAAAATTCAAGTTTTCCTCAAATTTCAGTTGTGTTGATGTACCCCCCCTCCCAGACTTCTCTCGGGTACCCCTTAGGGTACTCGTACCACTGGTTGAGAAACATTGCACAAGACGGATCTAGGCTCTACAGTGGAACAGGCTGCAGGCAGTCAGAGCCCCTCAAGCTCCACTCAGAGCAGAGGGTACATCTACATTGCATCTGAGAGCAAATCTCCCAGCCTGGGTGCACAGACTTGCTCTAGTGCTCTAAATACAGCTGTATAGACAGCATCTGTGGCTGGGGGAGGAGATCAGGCTCTCAAGCCCCCTCTAGCATCTACCCAGCTATTTTTATAGTGCTGGCATGAACCCTGCAAATGCAATTTGGTGGGCATGGGCTGGGAAGTTTGCTGTGGGATATGGTACAGATGTGCCTAATGAGAAGACACAGCCACGTTTCCAAAAGTGAATTAAATCCAGTGGCTTAGAATGTAATCAAAGTGATAGTTAAGACTTATAACAGAAATGCTGTTAACACTTAATAGGCAGTCACGAAAATAGTCCCCGCTGCCCAAGATGGAATACAGTATGAGGTTCTAGTCTATTGCTTCACAAAGATCCTCCCCCTACGAACAGGCAGGTGGGGTGAAGAAGGCAGAGAGAGAAACATCTTTTCCTTTTCATTCCCTGCAGTCAAGAAGTGGGGAGAAGAGATGAGGGAGGACGGACTCCTCTCACATTGACGCCACACAATGTCAGGACAGTTATTGGGTGGCTCTCTGATTCCATTCATTCAGGGAGGATGAGGCTTTCCAGCTCTCATTATTCTGTGGTCATCAAGGCTGAGTACCACAGAATGGAGGGCTAGAGAAAAATGTGAAAGGTGAGAGACATCCACTTCTTTGCATCTTGGTCATTGACTGTGCATGTAGCAAGTAGTGGAGGGAAGTGCAGGCCCTGATACAGATTAATGCCAAGTACCTGCAGCTCCAAATGCAGTCAAGGCATGAAGTTGATTGGCTTTTGGGAATCTCTACATGGGCAGAGGAGAACTTTGCTTTCCAGTGTTGGAGAGGAGATCTGTGCATGCTACACTAGCTTAATGGAAAGTTCCCCAAGAGAAAGCTGCAAGTCCACAACTTTTTTCTCAGGGGTAGGACTTTAAAGAACAAACACTAGGACATTTTTTAGGGAGGAAAGAAAAAAAAAGAGAGTAGAGCCAAATTCTGCCATGAGTTGTAAAAGACAAACAAGTTAGGCTTCAAAATGGTTGCATACATGTATCTCAGAGCAATATTTGGTCTCTGATCTATGGTATGGCTCAGAATTTTGAGTGCATCATCTGGAATGCTGGTATTGAAGCAGCACAGCCTAGCCATAAAACAAATCACTTCAACAGAAAATTCCAGCTCCAGTTTAAGGATATCTCTTAAAGTTTACTCAAGATAGTCACAAGGAGCCTTTAACAGTTGGTGTGACAATTTTTCAACAACTTACAGTATGTAGCATGAGAGAAAGAAATCACTACAGGCAAAGGAATGCAGAAAAGTAACTGCAATGAGCTCGTACACAGATCGCTAAACTGTTAGCTGGCATTGGCAGAGTTTCAGACTCTCTCATTCTTGCCCAGATAGTGCAACCATAGAGACCGGCTTAATGTCAGTGTGAGGGAGGGTCCAGGGTCCTCTTTAATAGGAACATAAAAATGAAAATTTAAATCAAATCCCACTGTTGGTATTTTTCTCATTTAATTTTCTTTTTCTCCTTACCTGCTCCCATTACATGTTGTGCAATATACTGCATTTCTTTAAAATTAATCAAGCTACCAAGAGCTAGAGTCTGCTCTCAGATATGGGATGCACAACCACTGCTGAAATCCTGGGGAGTTCTAGGTGAGTGAGGAATGCCAGGTCAAGCCAGGCTTATGTGGATTTTTAGTGTGGCTTTATAGTTACAATAACACTACTTTGCATATCTACAGCATTTTCCATCTGAGGACCTCAAAGTGTTTTACAAACAGCATGGAATTTAGCCTCCTAAAAGACCCTATAATATAACTGGCTCAGTTTCATTGATGAAGAAACTGAGGCATAGAGGCTCTGCAGGCCTCTTCTGCAGCCAGTTACATCGGACTGCAAACTCACAATCTGTTAGTTGAGTTTTCCGGGAATTGTTCCAAAAAGGGAGGGTTTGAATGGAATTCCTATCCTCTCACCCACAAAACAAGCAACAGGTATGTTCCTAAGCCCAAAAGGATTCCAAAGGAAGCCACAGTACTAGCTATTCAGAAACCCTAAGCTACCCACCACTCCATGAGGTCTCCTGCCCCATCACCAGATCCTGGGGAAACAGCTCCATTCAAATCCATACTCCCAAGGAACCTGGAGAGGGCAGATAATGCTGCACAGAAATTAAGACTCAAGCTTTATTAATTTTAGGTTGGAGTTTGTGGGGAAAACTAGATTAAGCTGATCATCATCATCTACTTGAAATAGATCCTGGGTTGGGTAGGGATGGAGCTAGAGGTAGCTAAGTAGAGCAAACTAGATTCTAGAGCTACACCTCTCCCAGGGCATAACAGGTGATCAGAATGAAAGCTTTCTGTATTGGTAAAGGGTGTGGATGTGGGTGTTGTGTGTAATAATTAGGCCCAGAGAGAAACTAAAGCCATAATTTTCATAAGTGGATGCTTATGGTTAGACACCTCTATCACTGAAGTGCTGAGCAGCCCCTGTTAAAATCAGTGGGGATTATTCATAGTATCAACTTTCAAGGACTTAATTCAGTAAAATTCATGTCTGCATTCAGTTGTATTGAAGCTCATACAAGAGGTGTTTCTGGGGTACAAAAACAACATTATTAATGAACTGGGGCTTATTAAATCAGACTACAACATCTTTAGATGTTTAAAGAGCTGCTAACTCTAGCTATCCATGCCTGAAAATAAGTTCTGACAATGAAAATCTTATCTAAAACTAGCATGCAAAGAAAATCTTGGTTGGTGCGCATGCTACTGGGCCTTTTGTCATCCTACTCTTTTCACCTGCTGTGCAGTCAGGTGGATTCCCAACTTTCTCTTATAAAGCCCTTTCATTTCCATCCCCTGGTTCTTTTTTCCTTCCATCCATCTCCACATAGCTGACTTTCTGTTTTGAAGATTTTCCAAACCATTGCTAAAAATATAGCAAAGCATATCAGCTTTCTTGTGAGATTCTAGAGCTACTGCCTCTTGCCTGTGGGACTGGCCATGGGGCCAGGGTCAGACTGCCTGAGCTTAGCAAGGGAACCCTTTCCTGAAGGTGGCTAGGGTGCACAACATTGCACGAAGCACTGACCAAGCCTCACACTAAAAGACAGAGGCAGCAACTTTGATGATAATAGTAAAGCTAAGGTTATTTTTTTCAGCAAAGCAGCATGGGAAAAGAGAAGTAGCTGGCTCAACTGAGTAAGACTGAGTAGGGGACTGGGTGACAAACCAATGAGAAAAAGTTGTAATGGAGAAAAAAAGTTGCAATGGGAAGAAGCAAAACATGGCCCTCCAACTCAGCTGGCATAATACCTCTACCAAGCCCTTACATTAAATAAATGTGAAATAAAAAACCCCAATGAATGGCTCTGCAGTACCTTAGAGATTAACAAAAATTTATACGGTATCCTGAGATTTCAGGAGCACACACCATTAAATACATATATGATTAAGTAATCTGCATAGTCCAAGAAACTAAGCCATCACCATTATTATTATTTATAACCTAAGTACAGGGCTGGTTTTACCATGTGGTGAACTGAGGCAGCCGCCTCAGGTGCCAGACTGTGTGTGGGTGGGGTGGGGTGAAGGAGGTCACTAGGATGCAGAGAATTGAGACCTTTCAATGTTTTGGCAAAAGCAAGGGGGCACGGGGGCATCATTTGAGCTCCCTGCCACAGGTGCCAAAATGTTGTGGGCCAGCCCTGCCTAAGTAGTATGTAGCAGCCCAAGCCAAGATCAAGGCCCCACTGTGCTAAGCACAGCAAAATTCAAAGAAAGAAACAGTCCCTGTCCTAAGGAATTTGCAAATTACATAAACAAGACAGGCCTCTGGTAGAAATTATACAGATGAAGAACTGAGCACAAAAAGTTTATTGTTGTCCCTTTAATAAATACGCAAATTGACCTGATTATACTAGATGTAGAGGTGACTATCACTTGTTAGGATCTATGGCAATAACACAAGAATGGTTCACTCTCCCTTGTGAAACTGAATTCATAAGAGGCACTTCTTTACTGTATATGGAGATTAACGTTTCAGTAAGAAGACAACTGAAGTGGAAGGCAATTCATTTACTCACCAAATATGCAGACAGCTGAGTACTGCAAAGACAATTCCTGCAACCAGAGCCAGTGGAATAGCAAGGAACAGAGTCAGGAGCTTGTACAGCACGTATCTGCTGAGCTCAAAAAGAGCGTGGCTGCAGATCCAAACTTTGTCAAAGGAGTGAGATGACGCAGGCTCTGCTATGACATCCTCAAACCCCAGCTAGAAGGACAGAGAAAACACCCCCCATGTAAAGGCAATAGCAGGCGCTGGGGTTGAAGAGGGAACTAAACTGGAGCCTCTGCGACGGATGCTGGGAAAGAGGCAGAGTAGGTTGCACTGGGCTATGTTTAATTTCCCTGCCGCGGCTTTATAGTACAGCAGATGGATTTTGGCTACAGACCCCTGCAGAGAAGGAAACTCGCTGGGCGTGATCTGCACAGGTGCTGGGGCAGGTTGGGCTCAGGCGGGATCGGACAGAGAGACCCCGCGATTTTGGTACTGCCCAGTTTAAAACAACAGCCCCTTATGGGAAAACAACCGCCCCGGCTCCTGGGAAGAAGGGGAGGGGCCCAAGCCGGTCACGGTGGCTGCAGCGCGGCGGGCCAGGGGGATCGCA